ATTATCATATAATGGTAGCGACCGAATAATTTCAATCACTAATGGTGAGATGATTAAAACCATATGGAAAAAAATTTAAAAAAACAAAATGATTGGGAACAAAAAGATGCTAGAATTTTCATTAGTTCAGCGCTAGTTGCGACAGATCATCAATCTGGTTATGAGGTGGAAGAATTCGTGACCGATTTAGGTAATCCTGAAAGGGTTCTTAACAGGTTGAGGGATATTGTAAATTTTCCCTCAATGTCATGTGATGCGGGACTTAATCCTAGGGTTTGACTCTTTTTAACATGTTATATTGCCTTGATTGGGATTGTTGACAAGAACTGCGATTACCGAATGTATTTTGGAGAAATAGTTCATGCAATCTATATGGTTGTATACAAAAGTTTAGTAAGTATTGTTAATGGATCGGGGTGTTTGTTCCTTTCTTTATGATTAATGCTAATGCTTCCTTTATTTTTATTTATTTTTTTTTTAAAAAAAAATTATGAAAATGTGTAGGAATTCATTCCTGGCCAATAATGTAATAAAAATGTTGGAGACGTTGGTGCAACGTAATTCTTTTGCTGATAATCAAGTTAGCGCGGAAGAATTATTGAGAAAGGAACGATATGCTTTTATTCCGTCTTCGTAAGTGTTAATTTTTTGACGAACTTATATTTACTAGGCGCAAAATCACATCATCTCATGCTCTTTTAAAATATTTCCAGGCTAGGAATATTTTTCTTGATAATAGTACGTCTTCTCACAGAAATCTTACGTCGTATCAAAGAAGCATCTATCAATGAAACTATGCATAAAATTGCTGATGATTTACAAAAATTAAAGACTCAATATCAACAATCCATTCAACAACAACCATTGTCTGCCACTTCAACGGACCCGTTAGTCAAAAGTTTGGAAACCAGGAATTATTTCTTCGTGATATTGGAGAAGGAAAATGAATAATAAGTATAAATTGTTAAATAACGGACGTATTAACTTAATTGATGGACAAGATCCAAATAAGAAAGAATTGATTTCAAGATTGAATTCATTAAATCATTATAAAGACCTAGCCAGAAAAGTTGACGCGACAAGACTTTATAATCCTCCCGGTGAACTATCAAATTTTGACAAAAGACATGATAATGATTTCGAAGAAATTTCAAAAATCTCGGTCATTCCTACAAAAGAAGAAATATTATGTGAAA